ATGGTATGTCCTGTACCATTTGTAAGGAGAAGGGTAGATAAGCTAAACCTTGTGTGAAGGAATGAGTTGTTCCATCGTAAGTGGTTATAAGACGGCATATCTGTTAATGAAATGCCAAAGTACAGGCTGATTCTGTTCACAATCAGAATGTACGGGGCTACCTTAGAGACCAAAGTTCAATGAAAAACTGCATGTGAAATTCTCCAGATGGAACCGCAGCTAGACAGTCGTGAACGGTTCTGGTGTGCATTAATCAAAACAGTGTAAGATATTTGGTATGAAGGTTCATAAGTACTACAGGTTTGGGGCCAAAAGAACAAGTGTTATGATGACATTGAATAAATCCAGGTGCCACGATCAGCAGAGAGTGCAGGTATAGCTCTGTGTACCGGAGAGTGTTCATAACGGCACACAGGAATGTCCCGCGTAGTTGTCTGTGGAACGACTTCCACTAAAAATCTGTTCAGTATTCTCAGTGTTTGTATATACAATATCTTTATTGGGGCTTTAATGTAAACATAACTGTTACGTAATTAAAAGATTGATTCCAGCATAGTCATTCACATGTCACTCCCGTTTCAAACAAAACCTGTGAAATACACAAGAACTTTGAAACGTTGATACTACGGAGGCCATCTGACCACCAAGCGATCATTAAGACAGAACCCGGTGATTTTCTTTATTCAATAGCCTGAAATATATTAAACTTTTAAGCAGCACTGTGCTGTATTATTTTATTTTAAATTTCGAAAGAAACAACTTCTTATCTATCAAAGTGTTTATTTTTTGGCACTTTATAATGAACTCATAATTGTTTTGGTATGATTTTCTATTGTTGTCTATTCAAAAGAAATTTTCACAATCAATTTATTATTCTATGTTGCTAAGAATAGGACCACAGTCACAAACTAATTCAATTACTTATCACAATACAGTATTTACAATTACTTATCATAATACAGTATTTACAATTACTTATCACAATACAGTATTTACAATTACTTATCACAATACAGTATTTACAATTACTTATCACAATACAGTATTTACGATTTTTCTCTGTCTTGGGATGCATCTTAAATCTAAATTCCATCTTAATTGGTGAACAAAAACTGAAAACAAGACCAATATTGAACATTTAAGAAAAATTGTGAGCTTTGTCCTGGACACTGTGATGTAAGAGGTTTTAATAGAAAGAAAAACTATGAAATGTTTAGATATTAACATCCTGGCCCAAGTTGTTCAGATGAAGGTAAACCCTAACCAGAATTTAGTGAAAAATTCAACTTGTCACCAATAAGGAACAAGGGCTTTCAAAGCAGAATTAATCCTACAACACATCAGTCTTACATACCTGCCAACCCCGGATATACTAAAAGAGGGTGATGACCCTCTTTTGAAAATAAAAAAGAGGGTTATAGCGCGCAAAGGCGTTTTTTGCAACAAATATAAGAAAAGTAGATATTAAATTAAAACTTTAATATTTTAATGATGTAAAAGGTACATTCTACCTTCATTGAACTGTTCTTCCAGCAGATCTAGCTAATCCTCATCCACAATACCAAATTCAAAGCTGAAAAATAAAAAGGTTTGTCAACAACACAACTTATAAAATAAATTCATAATAATAAATATGATACTGTGTTTTAACAGGCATTTTTTTATGTCAATTAAAATGGTCCTGACATTAACATGTCACATTCTGCTCGTATAAAATACCATTTTGTTTCTGTCAATGAAAATGGTCCTGAAAATAAGAAGTTACAACCTACTCATATAAAATACCAGTTTTATACAAGTAGGGTTTGAACTCATATTGTCAGGATCATTTTGATTGACAGAAACAAATCATCAAATGCCTGTGCGTGTTTTTGAATGTCTTTAGTAACGTTGTTTTTAGCACCAGATCCAACTGAAATATGCTATTACAAAGACTTGAGTGCAGAATGCAGCGTTTGGTCCACGACCGCCTGACTTTATACACTATAACTCATTTCCCTACGACATTTGATATGTGCACAATTATTTTTTCTTTTAGCATTTCGTGAAGTAGAACCTGAAAGTCCCGATATCGACCTCTTCCTTCAAGAAGACATAACGTTACCTTCAAAATAAGATATATTCTACGTAAATACAATTGTAAAAACAAGTCTATTATTCGTTAAAACACCTGACAAATAACTTGTCGGCAAGTTCAGTAACAACGGTCTTTATATAAACATTTGTAAAAACAGTTCTAGTATATGTATACGTATATAAACAACTCACAACTTACCTGTTGGTGAGAAACGGAAACAGGAAATAGATCATCTTTTTTATGAAGAAGGATGGAAAAGTCTAGAGAATTCCGAGTGATTTTGGTAACTTCTAATATACGAAAATATTCCGGGTGAAAACGGGTGAAATTGACGAAATCCGGGTCAACATCGTAACCCGGCGTGTGGAGTTAATAAAGCGGGTGAAGGGCTAAAATCCCGGGTATAACCCGACGAAATCGGGTCACTTGGCAGGTATGGTCTAATTTGTCTCAACCAATTTATAACAATGAAGTGATATCCGAGGTTCTGAATTTTGTTATGTTCATATTTTCGAATTTCCCCTCACCACTGGTAAACTCTAACCAGCCTTTGAGCAACAGAGGCCTGGTCTTCCGTGATGTTTGAGCACTTACTACTCTTTTTGTAATAAGTCACTTTGAATCATTGTGACCCAGCCAACAACTCTGTTAGGTTAACAGGGACAAGTTCAGATATTGGAGCAAAATCTCCTTCAAGATGGGAAGAGTTACCTAAGGGAGCTAATTGGGAAAATAATCTGATGGTATGTATACCTGACAAAATGTCCAGGAGGCACTCTTTGAGGTCAATATTTGTTAGATTATTTTGGAAGAGTACAGCAAGATAATAATTGATTATATATATTTTGTCATTTAGAGATAATTTAAGGATACAAATGTCACATTTTTTTTTTTAAAACTAAGGATTTAATAGATATTATTGAAGCTATCAGTTCTAGGTGTGTGGGGTTCTCCTTTGCATGGGGAGTAATAAAGTATCTTATATTGTATTTTTGAATGATGCCAGTTGGGATCACCCACATCAAAATGTGTTTGAGAGACACAATTTAATTTGAAAATTTAGAGCAAGGAAATTGCAGATCATTTATTTTAGGTCATATGCCACATGAAAAATTAACTTCATTACAGGGTCGGGGAGGATCATACATCAGCTACTGACATATGTACTTAGGGGAATCGCTGTAATAAGGCTGGGACCAACACCTCTCGCCTTCCTTTTATTGGCTCGTCTTTACTGGCCTCTTCAGGTGCCTTTCAGGGACTGATTGATGGTACGGGGTATTCATCCGTGGGTTCCAAATCTCAATGGAGGTTTGATACATTGATTTGGTGTGTGGGTATTACGTTACCACTGTGACCACCCATGTCATCGTACACTGTCACAGATGTAGTAGTTATGATCAATCTATACCACGACCCCTGACCTCCGTAGTAACAATTCCCCATAGGCGATTACTAACGTTTAGAAATTTTATCTTTGTGTGATATGATTTGGTTGCTTCTCTTTCGCCAGCCGCCATTGTTAGGTACAATATTTTCTCATATTCCTGACAGAATGCTTCTATTGTGGACGCTGATTTATTTGTTCTCCCAATATTATACTAGTGTGTGTGCCATAGGTGGCTTTGGTATTTATCTGACAGATCTGTGCAGGAGTTTCCTTCCCTTGTCTGTGAGAGTTGTGGCTGGTCTAGTCTCTCAGCACACGTTATCATTGGTCCATTGCTCGATGGTATTGCGCATTGAAAACTGAGCTATTGTAAAGAGTTTGTGATTCATTGTAGCAAGTATATAGCTGGCCACAAAGTAAAGGCATTTATCCTAGGACATATACATATTATTACTGTATATATAAATACCTAACTTGTTTGACATGTACAACATCATGTCTTACTGCTTTAATCTTATTCTGGTGGAAGATTGAAGTATGAAAGGGTGCCTTTTTTCCTGTTGTTTATAAACAGTTGTCTTTTTAGACGTATGTCTTAAATAAATTTGTTGATATGAAAAAGTTTTTTTATAAGACATTCCTAAATACTGTCTATCCAGATAATCTGACCTTTTAGTATATATAGCTAGGTTTCTAGGTAAGAAGTATCATTTATACACATATAGGTACTTTATTTGTCACCTTATACAGGTCCTCTTTAGACAAATGTCACAACAGAATCACTAGTCTGTACTTGTATTACACTGAGGATGAGTAACCCAGATATCAGTAGATTTCAATCCGACCTGTAAGAGTAACTTCTGAGAATTGTCTTTGCTCTATTTTGTAAACCTGCTGCTGGTATGGTACTTAGATCATTTTTTTTTTTCTCTGAAAAATCAACTCATTATTTTTGACACCTACCAGTAAATGTTTGTGTGGTACTGCTGATAATGAAATAGTTTTTATTTAATAAAAAGTATCTTGTAGTTTAAACATTTAAGTTTCCAGCCTTCCAGCACCACATGACAGTTTCCTACCACAGAACTAACATCTGTAAACAGCAGCCATTCCAATATTCCTGTCATGTTTCAAGATAATTACCCCAACTTTTTTTGGAACAAGAAATGCAGAGATTGACTTGACCAGAATTGATTTTTGACATATAAACACTAAAATGCACTTTGTTGTTGTGTTGCTATGATGTGAATATAAGATATGCTGACCTTGAACTATTATCTAGGACTTAATGCTAATTAATCCCCCTTTTCTCTATAGGTTGTTTAGTTATCTTGTTGCTATTTTAGAGACACTAATTGCCTTACTCTGTTTTCAGCATCATTGATCCTGTTATGATGGTGACAAGTTCATCAGAAGTTGACATTGAAACCTTACGACTTTGTGCAATACTAGGCATATGATCGTAATCAATTGTCTAGTATAAACAAATACTATGTGTGTCCTCTGTATGACCTGAAGTTATTTTTGTTGCAGATCTTGACAAGTTTACGCCAATTTCATTTGAGCCAAGGTTGATGTCCAACTTCCCGATGGTGCTGCCATCTCACAGCCGATTTGTTGTAAAGGTGTTCCAACCTAGTGGTCAGCCTGAGCCTACACTAAGGTGGGTAGTCCTCAGCCTTAATCAGCCTATACCTGCTTCAACCTGCAATTTCATACTTCATCTGCCTACATTTTCCCTCTGCCTACATCTTATCCTTTATCGGCTTACTGTATACCAGGAAATGTTCACCGCAGTTTCTTAAAATATTTTTGCCTTCTGCGACATGAACAAATTTAATAAACCAGGGAATATTAGTACACAGCATGGAATATATATCATAGCACTAATGTACCTCATGTTCAGCCTATATCTTCATCTTCTATGAACATGCACCCTTCTTCAGCATTAGTCCATCTTCATACTTGTTAACCTTTAAATTCACCATTTAACGGCATGTATATAAGACTAAGGAAAAAGGAGAAAACTGAAGTGGAAGGGAGGAAAAAATAATCATACCTGCTTTGAGTCAGCATATCAAGTGAATTATACCTGTAAAGTCTTATATATCGTAATGAAGTTGCAAAAGTGGGCAAGAGGCCTTTTTTTTTACAAAGTATTGTAACTGTATTAACTTTTAGCCAGGACAGTCATAACAGGAGAATTCCTGTACCAATTATGACATGATTTCTATAAACTAGTCTCCAAGGTTATGAATTCATAGTTTGTAGTAGCTAGACCACTGTATGTATAAGTACCTGGCTGGGGCCAGTGAGGTGTGGTGATTTAACTTTGTGAGGGGGATAGAGCTTATAACCAGCTGCAATCACACACGCCATTCTTACACTTACTGTTTACATGGTAAACTAATCAAGACTGCTGTTCACACAAGAGAAAACTATATTTACAGAAACAATAACATGAAAAATCCAGATGAAGCTGTTTTTGTAAAAACTCCCCTCACTGTGTTATAAAAGTACATCCCCTCTACCGAGTCTCTGACTCTAGTTCCTGTGTACTTCAAGGCTGCAATACACCATTCTGAAATGGAGTTTCCTTTTTTTGCCATTAAATAAGTGACAACATTTTCATTCTTTTCATCTTCTTTCGCTGCAGAGAATTAAAAGGTTTTATTTTACAGATAAAGTATACTTGAGGTTAGTCGTAAAAACTAATGAAGTATGCAGTGCGAAGTCTACTACAGGGTCAAGGGAGAGAGATCCGTGACAAGGACAAGCTTACAATACAACTGTGTTAGCACACAATCCACCAAAACGTAACATAACCATTTCAATAGTCCCTTCAAATGTTAGGTAGCCATAATTTAGGATGTTATGTTGTCTGGGGATGACGTTGGTGGTGTGGACAGATTTGTATGACCTCCGGGGCCAAAGGTCATTGCTATGGTGAATCAAACATCACATTGAATAATCATGTTTGCCATTTTGTTTTTCTTGTAGTAGCCATAAATAAGATAAAACATCTGCTTGGTATCGGTGGTTTAAGGACTTTGGATGTTTTGTGCTATATTAAACAGCAGTAATATTGCCAGTGAGCTTGTCCCTGAGATTACGTCTTATCTCCCCTCCTTCCTGGATAGTTGGCCTCCTCCCCACTTATTAGCTGTTCAAGTTTCCTCACCTGTCATGCTAATTGTAGCCCAGGGAGATGTGTTCCCTGTAGTGAATTCATTATGACTACTCCCCTCCACCATATATTGACAGCTCTTTTTGTCTGACCCTCAGTTGTCTTATGGCATGTCAATATGTTGTTTGTATCATTACCCTAGAAATCAAGGTCATGACAAGAGGTCAAAGTTCAAATCATTGTTATGCTTATATGCACCTTGCCTTTTTAATTGCTGAACTTTTTCTTACAAAATTTCAAATATATGTGTATTGATGAACAGAGTGTTGTGTAGCACTTTAAGGTTTTTCCTTTAAGGTCAAGGTTATGACAATTAAGGGATCAAAGGTCAAATCTGTTGAATGCTTTTCCTGACCATGACGTCCGATAGCTTTAAAAATATCTTATGAAACTTCACAAATATGTGGGTCCTGAACAGATGGAAAGAGTCTGAAATGATCCTGGGACCCTCTTCGGTGCTATTCGCTATATTGCTCCAGTAATTTGTCTGCATCTGTTATTTCTTTGAAGAAAGTTGAAGGTTTTCAAAATAGAAAACGAAACAGCATCTTGAAATGCTGTTTGCATACATAATAAGGTTATTTTGAATTTTATTATCCAGCAATAAAAAAATAACTTTAATATAGTTATAGGTGCATCTGGTTTTCTTTTAGTTTATGGGAAAATATAATTTAAAAATGTAAAAGTGTCGTCAGTTTCAGTTTGAGTATAGATTGATTTTTTGAAATAGGATTTTTAAGGTCCTTGTAAAACTTGTGAATTTTATAGACTTCTCTCTTCAATCCTTCACTTGTGATAACATAAAGACTGGCTTCTTCAAAACACTCATGTAAACACCACAAGTATTTTCATTCTCTCTCGCTTTGTTTTTGATGTCGGGTATTATTTGGTGGTGAAGTATGCTAAGCTTAAGTATTTTCAGTATTAAAATTAAGGGGCACTCACAAAGGCTAACAAACAAAAATAGTTCTGATTTTATAACACTTGATTCAAGATTGAAGAAAATGCTATAAAAAATTCAATAGTTACTTTTTCGTTATGTAAAGGTTACCAGAAATGCAGACTGTTACAGTAAAACTACTTTCTTGTTCATTAAAAATGATGTAACACATCTTGGGTGATTCTCTCTTTGTCATTGAGAAACAGAATACACAGAGGCAATGTGTTACATATAACCCAAAAGGGATCAGTCTTGGTGATGCCTCATTCAACATATTTTTTAAAGAAAGAAGAAAATCTCCATGAAAATTTGCAAAACAACTATCACCATCTTTCAAGCGATTTCTGGCAATATTTTAGAAGTATAATTAATTTTTCAAATTCATAGTTTTAAGTGATGTAGTTTTTCATTGGATTTTTTCCACATTTATGTGTCACTAAACTAACACATCCTCAAACAAATCATCCAGTATGAGATGTGAGGTTTGGTTTTCATATATTATAGCAGTGCCTTCTGTAATCTTTCCTCTCATTTTCAACATTAGTTTAACATGCGCCCCCAGCAGGGTTTGTCTTTTGTTCAGGGTTGTTACACAAGTGATAACAGGGATGGTAATCTCTAATATGTCTGTCATAAGTTTATTACACGTAGGTCCAATCTGTTTCCATCGTAAAAATGCTTCACGCTACAACTGCACAATGGCTGTAACTACAGAAACCATGGTGAGCTATAGTCACATGACAAATATCGGAGTTAGATAAATATTTACATCGTAAATTTCGCCTTTTTGGCAAAAACATGTTCCGTGTACTTTGTATTCTGTTTTTCATCTTTTTGCTGTCGTCAATGTTTGAAAACAGAGGCTAATAACCGCGGATGTTCACCTCGGAGCATCCATTGGAACTGTTTTGCTATTTCACACAGAATGCGAAAGAAAAACTTTCTGCAGAAGACATTACATAAGATTTTTGCGAGCGGAGTAATAAGATTTTTTGCGAGCAGAGTAATTAGGCCCCAGGTTGTGTTTATATAGATATTGTTATTTACGCCACTAGAGATATGCAAACATTTGCATACCATGTTATTAATATTGTGTAGCGTGGCTTTGTCGTAAATTCTGTATTTGAGCGAGACATGTATAACTACTTCCATCTGTATATCCCTATATCTGATACTGCGGAGAATTTCCATCAGGGACCGAAGATTGGCTTGTAATTCCTTTAAGAACAATTGTTCTGATAATGGGCCCTCGCTTGTTACTACCCACATTTATGATAAAGAATTTCATCTGTTGGGACCATTTATGCATTAAATAGGAAATCTGGAAATGGCGGACACATGATTGCCTAAAAAATGTCAAGAGTTAGTATGGATCATATTTAATAAGAAACGTTTGCCAGAATTTTGAAAATGAGTGGTGTAATTCTTATCAGACATTGCTTGACTATAACACAGGAAAGGCTCTGCCTAATGCTGGGGATCTCATAACTAGAAATGTAATTTGATTGGTCAAGATGTTGATCATAGCTTAGCCAATCCAATACTGATAATTTGTCTTATTATTATTATTCAGGAATTATTAATTTTGTTATACAGTTTTTGTAGAAATGTTTTGTCTGAATTATTGAAAATATGCTGTAAAAGTTACTCAAAGATAACAAAGTGCTTAGATTTCTGTTGCTGAAGTTTTGGCCATTTACTATTATGCATGCGTTAGACTGACCTAAGTCGACTAGATCTGTCTGATAGCTACAATAACAGGCAGTGATGAGTAAGATTCAGCGTTATCAGTATATAATCTCAACTTTGATGTTAATTTATGCAAATGAATCATTTAGATGTCAATTGTTTGATATGCAAACATGCATAATTTGCATATGAATTACATTTTTAATGAAGGGCATATGATTTTTGTGGAACTAACTGCCATTCATTTGCATCGTTTTGTAGATTGTTCATGGAGATTTGAACACTGAATTAGCAACGCGTCATGCTGTATTTATTATGTTATTTTTACGTTTGTGACATAACACCTTATACAGTTACATAGGCTGACAATTTTTTCCTTTTTTAAATGAGATTTTTTTTTATTTGAAAAAGTTTTATGGTGAATTGTTAGTGAGCTGTTGTAAACTTTTGATGTCAACACATGCACACTTGACGTTATCTCTGAGATCAGCTAGAGATGCTATCTGGAGGTAGCCTGTTAAAGACACACAAGAGCTAGCGCACAACAAAACACTACCTCGGGACAATGGCCGACGCTCCTTATCAGGGAGCAACATCACTTCTCTGGCTTTTTGTTCAGTTACATTACCACGGAAACCATCCAAGCAGTAAATTTATTTGCATTTTGAGAAAAGACTTCTGATATAATCATCTGAATTATGTTTCTGCGTATATATAATCGGGAGACAAAGAAAAGTCGAAGACATCTGGTGTGTAATTTTTGTAAGAAATATATGATCAACAAGGACGCTAAAAAAAGGTCGGCCATTTTTATCAAAGGAGATATTTCAAGGTCACGTGTATAATGTGAAAGAGCACAACCTGGTATGTCTATGGTGACCCATAATAAAGTACAAAAATCACTTAGCTTTATTCGATACAAATGTGCCTACTTTGATGGGGAATGGCGAAGGAATTCGTAAGGAGTAGTTAACTCTCAATCTAGTTCTCCTGGTCATACATTCTCAATGGATATAGTTTTCTCAATTACTTTTCTTTCCACATTTCCTCTCTAAACGGCCTAGGGCACTCCATAAAATCAATCTTGGGGTCAAGGTCAACTAAGGTCAAATAAAATTGCCTTATGCACTATACTGTGTTGACTTACTGTCAGCTAGTTTTTTACGATTGGCGGCAACATTTGTTATATAACAGCACGGAATTGAAATTGTAATTATATTTGAAAATCATTTCGACAGTTATCACCGTACTTAGACATACACCTATTAAACCATTTCTTGGAGGGTTTAAGAAGAACGATCCCAAATAATCAATGGCTAAATATTCTATCTAATATCACGCCATCCAAAGTATTATTGTTCAAAAGTTTTGGAAAGAGCCCATCAAAAATGATCTATATCCCGGACTAATATTGTAGCAGCAATTTAGGCAAACGTTTCTGCTGGGGTCCGATGGCAATCTTGTGAATATAATTGGAAAGTTTTGAAGTTGAGGCAGGTGTGTAACCAGATAAGTGTGTTATGTAACGTGAGGATTTTGGGGGGATTTTCACAACTTTGGCACAATGTCAAGAACATACGCAGATACATTTTATCTAGATACTTCTTGGGACAAATCTCCAACATTAATCTCAACTTGTCATAAAATTAAGTCCATTTCCCAATTTGATGCATTTTATTTGCTTTTGCAGATGGTATGATCGTAACGATTTGCTGATTGGGGATTCTGGTCAGATCCACGTGGAAGAAGACAACCTTGTCTTTGAGAACCCACAGGAAATGGATTCTGGGAACTACACATGTGTTATTGTAAACATTGCTGGAGAAAAACGTCAAAATGTTTGGATCACCGTTTCAGGTGAGGAAATATCTCAAAAACATGTCAAACATTCTAGTCAGAAAAGAATCTTTCTTCTGGAAAAGACAATTTCATTAATATAAAATGTACATATCATGTCATTGCTAGTCTATCTCAACACACAATGAATGATATAACAAATCTACACTGTTGAATAAACAGTTGATTCTGATTATATGACCTTACACAGTTTTAAGTTTGAATGTTCAAAGAGTCTCATAGTTATTGCGATGGCATATCATATGACAAGACCAGGTGATGTTATCTACTGTTAAACATTTAACGCCACTTAGCTACACGAGGAAAGAAAAAAAAGGCACATGGTCATGTAATAGACAAATTTCACATCAGGAGGTGAGCTTTGAAGTCCAAATACCGACTTCCCACTATATCCCCATTCAACATGGCTACCTAGCGCTCTTACTACATTCTATTTAGAATCCTTCCAAGACGCTAATGATTTGGAATGGGCCATTTCTGATTTTCAATTGACGCTGTTTGCTGTAGGAAAACTCCATTAGCAGTATAAGACATTAATAGAGGTTTCCTTTCCCTATAAGCTTAGGGACAGATAGAAATGATAAACAGTCTTGTTGTCTGCTACTTATATGATTATCAGACTTGCATACTGTGATGCTCGTACCATTACATTTCTGGCGCGTTTACCTACAACTAGTAACAGGAGGAGATAACTAACAGCACTCCTCTTTCTTCAGTTCTTTGTCAACCTTATTTGTCGCGTAATGAAGAGAAAGGACCAAAATTAGCAGTTCACTTTAATGTTGAAGCATATTCAACTATTATATGACATAAAACTTTAAATTCTAACTTTCTATTTCACTTCTTTTTAAAGTCTAAATGAAACATGAAACAAATTATTTTAATTTCAAAAACTAAATGTTGAAAATAAAATCTAATCTTATAATTTAAAAAATCTTTTTGAAATTATAGCGATCTTGAGCATTAATGCAACCGTCATGACAACAGATGAAAGAAAGTTGGTCAATTGGATTTGGCTGGGTGGGACACTTCATGTGTTATAGTGTTCTAGTGTCTATGGTCCATAATAGTGTTGAAATCTTTTCCACGCTGGTTCTATGCAAAATGGTTAATTTGTTGCGGATTTTTACAAAAGCATTACATAACCTGCTAAGATAGCCTTTCTTGCCCCTACCACTGCTCCACGCAACAAGAGTTCCTTGGCATACCAATTTCATACACAACGCATTTCATTTTAACCAGCTTTATATGCAGTTGATTTAAATTTGGCGCATTAGCTTGGAACTGGTACCTGTAATTCTGTCTGATGTGTTTAAGTGGAGTTATGTCTGGAGGAGGTATGATGAATGTAATATACACCATCTGTATAGGCAAATGGTACCCAGCATTTATTGTGTGTTATAGATATGGGAAAGAGATTGGGAAGAAAACCAACAGAGGTTTTGTTTGGTACATTTTAGTAATATGAGTTTTGTTTTTATGGCTACTCATTGTCTGGAAAGCTGAAGTTGTATGCAATTTTGGTATGATTAAGGTAGAATTTTTCTACATTATCAATCATTTTCAGAAGATATAAACAACTAAAAATCAAAATCAAAAATGACTTTTCTTTATAGTGTTTTGTGCAATAAAATACTTTTTCTGATGATTGTTATTTTAGACTAAAAAAAAAGAATTTGATATTTTTAGGTGAAATATAATATAAAATTAATCTGACCAGATATCTATAAAGTTTACAGACAAGATATATTTTGACATTTTATATATTTCATCAGTCCATAAATGTCTACAGTGGTTAGAAAGGTATTAAAAGTAGTGAGATGCTTTGTAGTAGAGCGTCTGCTTTAAGGTCTACAGTGAGAGGTGCCTGTACCAGGTATTACAATTCCATATATCTTAGTGATTGTCTAACAGTGATATGTTTTCCAGTGCCCCCTATCATCCGACGGCCACCACAGCCTCAGGAGGTCGAGGAGGACGGCTTAGTGACCTTCAACTGCCAGGCGACTGGTACCCGACCCCCTGTTACCACAGTGATATGGGACAAAGACGGCGAATATGTGAAATCGGTAAAAATCATTAATTGTCCAATGCAATGGTTTAGATCAACAGTTTATTTGGTATTTGGTAATATGCTAATTATTAGCTCACCTGGTGAAATCTTCTCTGGAAGTGTGTGATTAACATCTGTTATATTTGGTCAGATTGAGTAATGAAGCTTCAGAAACAATTAAAGGTCTGACCCCAGGAGGCGGACGGAAAGGGCCAAAACGGGGTCATTTGGCCATATTGTTCTGAGCAACATCTCTTCTGAAACTATCAGATATATTTCAACCATGCTTGCTTGAAAACATCCTCAGGTGATTATGATTAAAATGTGAAAACAGAGAGACGTACGAAGACCTACAAGGGGCTGAGGTAAAAGAGGTTAAAACTTGGAAATAGTTGAGTTACCAACCCTATACTATAACCAATATATGCAGTTGCTGGTCATGAAGATACTAGTACGATATCTATGGTCTGGCCTTAACCCTAGGGACTTATTTACAGTATGAGTATAGTTTGTGATGACAGCCCAGGCTCTATCTAGATCTGGGCCTCTGTTTGTATGGGCTAGCAGGATATGCCAAGTAGAGTATGTGTCTATAGTTTTTGGCAGATTTGTTTTTTAATAAAAAAATATCTTTGAACACATTATTTCAAAACTTCTTTCAAATGTTCATACTGTGACTTTCAACCAAATTTTACGTCGTAACATACCTTTCTGAAGTACATTTATGATTTAGTTTTCTTCATTTTCTTTAATATCTCATATTTGTGACATGTTTATTTACCAGATGAAATTATAAAAAATCCTGACATACCACATTATATGTATATTGAAAGTGACATATATTGTGATCTGATTGTACAGGTGCGACAGTTTCTGATTTACTCTTGACAGCGATATGTAATTATTCAAAATTAATGGATTGCGGTATTGTGCTTGGTTCAATGGGAGATGGATTCTGTAATGGTAGATTGTGCACCCTGCCTGTGTAAATATGTTTACACACCTGTTCTGTACAAAAGCTCGTTTATGACAGGTAAATAGTAGATCCAGGTCGTGCATCTGTCAGATCGAGTTATTATGGGGGGGGGGGAAAATAGGTGTAAGACAGGAGTCGTTTATGGGACTTGTTGTTTTTAACAATTTTTACTTAAAGGATCAAATTGGCAATAACCCAGCAGGGCTTTTGATTGGGAGGTGGAAAGGAGGATTTATTAACCCACCCTGTAAAACATAACCCTTTTGTACTGTATTTGGTATTAAGAACACAAATCACAACAGAATTCCAAATAAACAATAAAAAATGAACATTTCTATTTTTGCTGTACAATGTAACGTTGTAATTTTACAGTCAGTTAAACAAGTGACAAAAAGGCTGGAGACGAATGGGTTTATTGGAGTTATACTGCAAAGGAAGCAAACTTTCCAAGGCTAACCTAAAACTGTTGTTAAAAATGCTGAGGGTTTCATAGTTGGACTATTGTGAACTAGTTCTATTGTGGGATAATTTACATTGTCAAAAGTTTTTAAATATGTCCCTTTGTTTATATGCATGCTAAAATAGCTTTGTGTGTGGAAGTATTGATACTGGTTCATGTGAATGCAGGGATTACTATAAGTCGGGCTACATTCTCTCATTGTAGGGGTCAAGTCGCCATCGCATGGATTTAAACAGAGGAACACTGACAATTAGTGATGTCCAAATGCAAGATGCTGGAGCATACGCTTGTGTCGCAAATACCACGGGACAGGATCTTGTCTTCTCTGATAGGGCCTACCTTCGTGTCAGAAGTAAGTATCTTCTCTGATAGGGCCTACCTTCGTGTCAGAAGTAAGTATCTTCTCTGATAGGGCCTACCTTCGTGTCAGAAGTAAGTATCTTCTCTGATAGGGCCTACCTTCGTGTCAGAAGTAAGTATCTTCTCTGATAGGGCCTACCTTCGTGTCAGAAGTAAGTATCTTCTCTGATAGGGCCTACCTTCGTGTCAGAAGTAAGTATCTTCTCTGATAGGGCCTACCTTCGTGTCAGAAGTAAGTATCTTCTCTGATAGGGCCTACCTTCGTGTCAGAAGTAAGTATCTTCTCTGATAGGGCCTACCTTCGTGTCAGAAGTAAGTATCTTCTCTGATAGGGCCTACCTTCGTGTCAGAAGTAAGTATCTTCTCTGATAGGGCCTACCTTCGTGTCAGAAGTAAGTATCTTCTCTGATAGGGCCTACCTTCGTGTCAGAAGTAAGTATCTTCTCTGATAGGGCCTACCTTCGTGTCAGAAGTAAGTATCTTCTCTGATAGGGCCTACCTTCGTGTCAGAAGTAAGTATCTTCTCTGATAGGGCCTACCTTCGTGTCAGAAGTAAGTATTCAAAGACTGGGTCTGCCTCCATATCAGGGATAAACATATATAATTAGGACCTACCTTCGTATCACAAGTAGGTATGTCTGATCAGAACCTGTGTCTGTGTCAGAAGTAGGTGTACATATAGTTAGGGCCTTCCTCCTTGACAGGAGTGAGTACATTATATACATAGTTAGAGCTTACCTCCATTTCAGGAATAAATATACATGGTTAGAGATATAGGTATAATTTCGGAGATACATTGTTCATTAATCATATTAACAGATAGTGATTCTGCTCCTAGAAATCTAATGTGGTGCTCCTCTCAAAAAAGGTGTAAAATGTTTAGTAACAATGTACTTACGTTACAGAAAAGCTGAAGTTTGACCCTCGACCAGAGAATACCTTCATCGAGCTTCTTGACCAGGATGCCAGCGTACCATGTTTTGCTGAGGGAGATGGACAAGTCCGCATCAAATGGTTTAAAGATGGGCGCATCAATATTGCTCCACATGTCGCGAATGTCGAAGGAACTCTTCACTTCTACAAAGTACAGCGATCTGACTCCGGTCTGTATACCTGTCAGGCTTACAACGACAAGCAGGGAGCCATCGATGTCACCATCAACATCGACGTTGTCGGTATGTACAACTTTCAAGTAACACTGTGTAATTATACAGAACTTAAAACTTACAGCTCCTTACAGCAAATCCACCATTATGTCTTCCTTTTATTCCTAATAAAAGAGGTTCCTTTCCTGTGGGAAAAAATGAATAATTTCAATCAACAGATGTATTTGTTAATGATAAAGTTAAAATTGTAAATGTAGTCTTTGTTTTCTATTGAAGAAAAAATTATTTCATTTAGTTTCATTACACACTTGCAGAACGTCCGCGATTCCAAGTACAGCCGAAGAATGCCACAGTGTTTGAAGGTCAGTCAGCCATGTTACACTGTGTTGCCAGTGGTGACCCGCCTCCCATGATCATCTGGGACAAGAACTACTTCACAGATGACTTTGACAAGACACGCGTCATTGTAAGTTACAAATGAAGTCATCTGTTGTGTTTTTAGCTCACCTGGTCCGGCGTCCGGCGTCCGGCGTCCGGCATCCGGCGTCCGGCAACTTTTTCCTTTAAAATGCTACTTGTCCTGAATGGCTCAGAGGATCTTGACCAAATTTGGTCAGGAACATCATTGGCCAAAGGGTTCTCAGTTTTGTATAAACGGAGGGTATAACCCCCCTGGGGGCAGAGGGGCGGGGCCAAATAGGGGGAAAATAGGTAAATCTTTAAAAATCTTCTTCTTCTCAACCAATAGAAGAATTTTGACCAAATTTGTCCTAGAGCATCTTTGGACAAAGGAGACTCAAGTTTGTATAAACGGAGGGTGTGGCCTCTTTGGGGGCAGAGGGGCGGGGCCAAATAGGGGAAGTAGAGGATTTTTTCTCTCCTACTATACAAGTGAAGGGATTTAAACCAAATGCAGTCTGAAGCTTGGTCAGGAGCATCATTGGCCAAAGGGTTCTCAGTTTTGTATAAACGGACGGTATAGCCCCCCCTCGGGGCAGAGGGGCGGGGCTAAATAAGGGGAAAAAAGGTAAATCTTTAAAAATGTTCTTCTTCTCAACCAATTGAAGGATTTTGACCAAATTTGTCCTAGAGCATCTTTGGACAAAGAAGACTCAAGTTTGTATAAACGGAGGGTGTGGCCCCTCTGGGGGCGGAGGGGCGGGGCCCAATAGGGGAAATAGAGGATTTTTTTTCTCCTGCTATACAAGTGAAGGGATTTTAACCAAATGCAGTCTGAAGCATGATTAGGGACAAAAGAATCAATTTTGTATAAACTGAGGTGTGTGGGCCTCCTTCTAAGGGCAGATGGGTGGGGCCCATTAGGGGAAATAGAGGAAAACATCAAATATCCTTCTCCTTTTGTACCGATGAAGGGATTTTGACCAAATTTGGTCTGGAGCATCATTGGCCAAAGGGTTCTCAGTTTTGTATGAACGGAGGGTATGGTCCCCCTGGGGGCAGAGGGACGGGGCCAAATAGGGGAAAATAGGTAAATCTTTAAAAATCTTCTCCTCAACCAATTGAAGGATTTTGACCAAATTTGTCCTAGAGCATCTTTGGACAAAGGAGACTCAAGTTTGTATAAACGGAGGGTGTGGGCCTTCTGGCGGCATAGGAGCGGGGCCCAATAGGGGAAATAGAGGATTTTTTTTCTCCTACTATACAAGTGAAGGGATTTAAACCAAATGCAGTCTGAAGCATGCTTAGGGAGAAAAGAATCAATTTTGTTTAAACTGAGGTGTGTGGATTCCCCTTCTTTGGGGCAGATTAGTGGGGCCCATTAGGGGAAATAGAGGAAAACATTAAAGATCCTTCTCCTTCTGTACCGTTGAAGGGATTTTAACCTAACCAAACTTGTTTTAGAGAATCTTTGGGCAAAGGGAATTGAATATTTATAAATGGAAGATGCAACTTTGTTACTTGTACTCCTTTGATAAACCTGAATGGTACTCAGCAGGTTTTAAATTGAAAAATAAAATACCAGGTGAGCTATTAAGGCCCCTGGGCCTCTTGTTAGTGAATATCTTCAGTTTTATCAAGTTTTATGCAAAGGTACAAAATACCTTGAACTAGCTCAGAGTTCCAAAGGCCAAGGTCATCATGACTATTTATAGAAATTAGCCGACCATTTTAGTGACATCACAGCAGGAACTTCAGATTTTGATAAAAGTTTACTAATAGGTCGAGTATGAGAATACTATTCTGGGAAACAAACATAATTAAAAAAATTATAGAAATTTGTCCCCAAAAAAAGAGAGGCTACTTTGCATGGTAATGGGGCGATTCATGTCTTACTGACATATTCTTTGATTATTTTTTGTCGTTTCAGAAATACAGCAATGGAACATTATACCTCAGCAAAGTTTATATTCAAGACAAAGGAAAATATGGATGCACAGCAAACAACACAGCTGGGTCTATCCGCAGGGAAGCTTACTTAAATGTTGCTAGTAAGTACTGTCCTATGTCTGCATGTCTCTCTTTCTGTCTCTTCCTATTTCTCTTTCTGTCTCTCTCTATCTCTTTCTCTCTCAGTGTCTATGACAACCTTTTTTAGTATCTTAGTTGTGTGAGAGTTATTTCTTGGTGAAAGTATATTGGTAACAGCCCAAATACCACCAACATGGACTAGAGATTTAATTCAATTTTGAGAATAACGCTTTTGTTATCCATTAGAAAACTATTGTTGTTAAAAAACTGAGATGTAAGCATTCATCTTGCATGAGGTGGTATTAATTTTAGTTTTTCTGTATTATAGCTTGTTTTAGTGGTGGTCATGATAATCATACTGCTAGGAAGTCATATAGCCCACAAACAGTCTCAAGGGAGGCTACTCTTACTGGTTAAAAATAATGAAAAGGAAAATAACGTAAGGTGTGTTTCAGTACAACAATGGTAAAATTGATAGATTATTACATATGGTACTGTTTCTGTATAATGGTTTCCATACATAATAATATCTGATTTGCAACTGTTGTCGTCTGCTTGTCAGTCTCGAAGGATCACATAACATGTATATATGTAAGGAACAGAACTGTAAATAAATACAGAAAATGTCTCTGTGATATATGTTTTAGAGCAGAATTGTAAATATTTGCAGCATATGACTCTATGAGTCACTATGGCGACTTGCGGTGGAATTCTAGTGGTAACTTGCACGTGCAAGGACGAAGGATCTCATTATTGACTCTGTTGTTCTGCCTTGTACAGCTGTGTTCATGGACGTTTTCCCCATAAGGATGCTTTTATCATTCCATGTTCATATATATATATATATATATATCTAATCACGTTAAACTTCATGTCACTATGGCAACAATGCCAGAAAATAGATAAGTAAACTGTTTGACTTCTGTGCTGCATGTGACTTCATGGCCACCGTTTTGTCAGCCCTAACTCATCATCTCTCATTGGGAGAAAGATTTCGTCATTATGTACAGCATCTGACTTATTCATAATACTTGATTAATAAAGACATTTTGTTTAGAATTTGACTGGATTTTGTTGTGCTTCACGCTTCTTGATGTGATCAACATTTCCCATTTATAGACTTCATTTCTTTCAACTCTTATTAGCATGGGTTTCCTAGTTTTGCAAAAGATTGATAGCTTTCATTGAACCTGTGCTTCCATTCTGTGGGTCTTAAGGCATAGTAAAAGTGACCTCGTAGAATTGGTACAAGATCTAGATGTATACTTGTCACTGCATCAATACCTGTATCCTAGAGGAGCCATTTTCTGGTATCTTCTGTTTGAACCCCAGGATGACCTATACAAAAAGACTTCCCTGTAGCTGCTTATTGATTGGATGCTGCAAAAGGTCACCAGAATATGACCTGCTGTGTAATTCCCAGGGTTTTGATGCAGTGAACAGTTGATCTCTAACATTAGAAGAATAGAAAACCACCCTTATCATTAAGAAAAAAAACTTGTATGCTGCGATAGTTACCTGTACCTTAGATGGTATTCATTAGATTACAAGCTTTTGTTTGATATGGATTGATGAGTTTTTGCATTTATTCACAAGAGCTACTAAAATGTTTTTATTTAAAGAGAAAAAAGGGTGAACATAAACAAATTTCATATATTTGTCAGAAAAATGATATTGTTATATTTTATATTTTTGAAACATTTACAAATTCATTCTTTGATTGTTTAAATCCTTTTATATTTTTATTATAATGAATTTGAGAGAGATGGAGAATCGTGCTTCCATTAATCCTATTCTCTTAAAGTGATGAAAATATTTTGTAAAGAGTTGTAAAGGTTGTATTTTTGTGTTTTGAATTGGATATATGATTGTTTCCTTTTATAAATTTTATACTGAAAACAAATCTACTTTAAAGCAGTAATTGAAATGTCTTATATTATGGTGGTACAGATACAAATGGAAGTTCATTTTGTAACAATTTTCAATATAGACAGTTAATTACACTTCACCAAATCACTCTTACCTTGCCGAGGATTTGAAATTCAGATGACTATGGTGTGCGTTATTTTTGGCGGTCTGGTGATTCAACTTATAATTTTAGTTGATGGTTCTTATTTTACAAATGTCTGTTCTTAACTTTAAAATGTCCTCTAGTGGTTCTGAACATTCAATATTGCAAACGTTTCTTAACATTTAGTATCAGCATTTAATTTCCAACTACGGACTGAGACATGATTATGTGATACGGTCTGCTGTAATATATAACTAGCATTTTCTCCTTGTCGTTAACTTAGCTACCAACGACTACAATAAGTCCGCTGAACCAGATGATGAGGAAGGGTTTGACATGATGAAGACTATCATTATAGCCGTGTGTAGTGCAGCCGCATACCTCGCACTTGTGATTGGGCTGACTGCCTTCTGCAGTTACAGAATGCTGATGCAGAGAAGGAACCGCAAATCTCTCGGTTAGTAAAAACCAACTTTTTTATTATGGAATGCAAGTAACCATATTTTCTATATTCACTTCATCGCTGATCTGGACCAATTTTTAATGGACAAAGTAACTGTAAGAAATTTATTGGTAATATATCCTCACAGTAGAACATCAATTTTTATTACAGTGAAGTCGGAGAACGGGGACATCAGTAGGGAACAACACGAGTTACTGATGAAGGATCGGGACAGTGAGTCGAGGACACCCTTCCGTAGTGACAGTGACAACAGGTCCCACGTGTCGGGAATGTCCTCTCAGCCGTCCCACTCGTCCCAGTCCCAGTCCCAGTGTCCCTCACACGCCCGGAGTCGCCGGGGAAGCTACGACAGACTTCTATTCCCCCGACAAAACTTGCAGACCCTTGGCATGCTTGGTAGGTGCTGATTTTAAGTAGTTAATACTTAATACACATCAGTATAGACAATACTGTCAATGTTACTGGTGATGTTGGTATAAGACACATCAGTAAAGACAATGCTGTCAATGTCACTTGTGATGTTGGTATAATACACATCAGTAAAGACAATACCGTCAATGTTACTGGTGATGTTGGTATAAGACACATCAGTAAAGACAATGCTGTCAATGTCACTTGTGATGTTGGTATAAGACACATCAGTAAAGACAATGCTGTCAATGTCACTTGTGATGTTGGTATAAGACACATCAGTAAAGACAATGCTGTCAATGTTACTTGTGATGTTGGTATAAGACACATCAGTAAAGACAATGCTGTCAATGTCACTTGTGATGTTGGTATAAGACACATCAGTAAAGACAATGCTGTCAATGTTACTTGTGATGTTGGTATAAGACACATCAGTAAAGACAATGCTGTCAATGTCACTTGTGATGTTGGTATAAGACACATCAGTAAAGACAATGCTGTCAATGTCACTTGTGATGTTGGTATAAGACACATCAGTAAAGACAATGCTGTCAATGTTACTTGTGATGTTGGTATAAGACACATCAGTAAAGACAATGCTGTCAATGTCACTTGTGATGTTGGTATAAGACACATCAGTAAAGACAATGCTGTCAATGTTACTTGTGATGTTGGTATAAGACACATCAGTAAAGACAATGCTGTCAATGTCACTTGTGATGTTGGTATAAGACACATCAGTAAAGACAATGCTGTCAATGTCACTTGTGATGTTGGTATAAGACACATCAGTAAAGACAATGCTGTCAATGTTACTTGTGATGTTGGTATAAGACACATCAGTAAAGACAATGCTGTCAATGTCACTTGTGATGTTGGTATAAGACACATCAGTAAAGACAATGCTGTCAATGTCACTTGTGATGTTGGTATAAGACACATCAGTAAAGACAATGCTGTCAATGTTACTTGTGATGTTGGTATAAGACACATCAGTAAAGACAATGCTGTCAATGTCACTTGTGATGTTGGTATAAGACACATCAGTAAAGACAATGCTGTCAATGTCACTTGTGATGTTGGTATAAGACACATCAGTAAAGACAATGCTGTCAATGTCACTTGTGATGTTGGTATAAGACACATCAGTAAAGACAATGCTGTCAATGTCACTTGTGATGTTGGTATAAGACACATCAGTAAAGACAATGCTGTCAATGTCACTTGTGATGTTGGTATAAGACACATCAGTAAAGACAATGCTGTCAATGTCACTTGTGATGTTGGTATAAGACACATCAGTAAAGACAATGCTGTCAATGTCACTTGTGATGTTGGTATAAGACACATCAGTAAAGACAATGCTGTCAATGTCACTTGTGATGTTGGTATAAGACACATCAGTAAAGACAATGCTGTCAATGTCACTTGTGATGTTGGTATAAGACACATCAGTAAAGACAATGCTGTCAATGTCACTTGTGATGTTGGTATAAGACACATCAGTAAAGACAATGCTGTCAATGTTACTTGTGATGTTGGTATAAGACACATCAGTAAAGACAATGCTGTCAATGTCACTTGTGATGTTGGTATAAGACACATCAGTAAAGACAATGCTGTCAATGTTACTTGTGATGTTGGTATAAGACACATCAGTAAAGACAATACTGTCTATGTTACTTGTGATATTTGTATAAGACACATCAGTAAAGACAATACTGTCTATGTTACTTTTGATATTTGTATAAGACACATCAGTAAAGAAAATGCTGTCAACAATTCTTCAAACGAATTATTCTTCTTAACCACTGATTGGATTTAACTAAATTTGACTGGAAGCACCCCTAGGTGGTGGGGATTCAAAATTTTACAAATGGTAGGGTTAACCCCCCCGGGGGCTGAGGGGTGGGGTAAAAAGGGGACAATTTGGCTATATTGCTACAAACGCCTTCTTCTGTAGAACCGTGCAATGGATATCAATCATATTTTGTCAGAAGCATTCATGGGAGCCGGGGATTAAAAATTGTACAAATGGTTGGGCTCACCCCCAAGGGGGCTGAGGGGCGTGGCCAAAAGGGGACAATTTGGCTATATTGCTATAAACAACCTCTTCTGTAGAACTGTGCAATGAATATCATATTTGACTGGAAGCATCCCTAGGTAGTGGGTATTCAAACTTGTACAAATGGTGGGGCCGACCCCCAGGGGGCTGAGAGGCGGGGCCAAAAAAGGACAATTTGGCTATATTGCTTTAAGCGAGTTTTCCTCTGGAACTAAGAGATGGATATCAACCATATTTTACTGGAAGCATACCTAGGTAATGGGGATTCAAAACTGTACAAATGGTGGGGCTGACCCCCAAGGGGGCTGAGGGGTAGGGCCAAAAAGGGTTATTTGCTATATTGCTTTAAGCGACTTCTTCTCTACAGCTAAGATGGACATCAACCATATTTGACTGGAAGCATCCCTTGGTACTGGGGATTCAAAATTGTACAAATGGTGGGGCTGACTCCCCAGGGGGCTGAGGGGAGTGGCCAAAAGGGGGCAATTTGACTAAATTGCTATAATGACTTCTTCTGTAGAACTATACACTGGATATCAATCATATTTGGTCAGAAGCATTCATGAGAGGCGGGGATTCAAAATTGTACAAATGGTGGGGCTGACCCACCAGGGTCCGAGGGGCGGGGCCAAAAAGGGTATTTTGGCTATATTGATATAAATTTTGCCCCACCCTTGGAGACATAGTCTTTGGGTCATAACTTTGAAACGGTTGAGATCCCCACCCCAAAACTGTATATATACAAATGCTGGGCATAAAGAGACGAATGCAGTCATGATATAAGAATTGATTCCAGAGTCTGCTCCACCCTTGGAGACTTAACCCCTGGGTCATAACTTTGAAGCGGTTAAGATCCCAACCCCAAAACTATATATACAATTGTTGGGCATAAAGAGACGAATGCAGTCTCAATATTAGAATTGACCCCGGGGTCTGTCCTACCCTTGCAGACTAAACCTCTGGGTCATAACTTTGAAACAGTTGAGATCCCCACCCCAAAACTGTATATACAAATGCTGGGCATAAAGAGACGAATGCAGTCATAATATTATAATTGATCCTGAGGTCTGGCCACAATCCTAGGGACCTTGTTTCTGAGTCACACCTTGGAAACAGTTGAAATTCCCACCCCATATCCATACATGAAATTGCAAGGCATGAAAATCTAATACAGATAGGATACAAGGATTGTCCTTGGGGTCTGGCCCATTCCTTTGGATCTTATTTGGAGAATATTTTGCCATGATTACTTTGATATCCAGGTGAGCGATACAGGCCCTTAGGGCCTCTTGTTGCATTATTGTAATATTTTGGAACCTTTTTATGCCCCCACCACATTAAATGCTTCACTTTTTCTGTCATACCAACCTGTAGTCTGTGTGTCGGCCTATACAACTTCATGGTTATGTTTTGTGTTTAGCTCAATTTCTCTAATGTCAAATAGTCATCAAACTTCATATTTGGTTGTATCTTGAGGAGTACTTGACAAATATATCAAAAGTGGGTCACTGTGACAATTATTTCAGCTTCATCGGCTTTAGTTAGAGTTCTGTTTAGCTTCAGTTATTTGTTTGGACCTTTTTGACTCTATATCCATCAAAATAGGATGAGCAAGGACTTGAAAACATATTTTGGATTCTGTTTCTGTTTTGTTCATTAGGTACTTCTTCACATTTTACCAAACTTATCTTTGATTGGTTGGAAATTGGTTTTGGTGACATTTTGTTTATCTTGTTTTTCAGGGAAAGGTTCGTTTGGTGATGTTTTTCTAGCCAAAGCACGAGCTATCCGAGACAGTGAACCTGAAACTCTTGTCCTTGTCAAGACGCTACTCATCAAAGATGAGCAGCTGTACTTCGAGTTCAAACAGGAATTGGATATGTTTGCTAAGCTTGACCATCCATACATCGTTAAGTTACTGGGTGTCTGTCGCGAGGTGGAACCTCATTTCATGATCACAGAATACTGTGATTGGGTAAGTTTGTAAAGGTTTACACAACCTTGTCATAAGACATCAAAGTAAACAGAGAGAATCTTATTTTTATAAATAGCTTTTATTTTTAAGTGGTTAACATAATGAAATTCATGAAAAATTAGAGTTAGAATTACTTAAAGCTTATACTTTTCAATGCATTTTTCTACTGCAAGTGCATGTATTTTGAATTCTTTTTATTCAGGAATTTCAAAATGTTGTCTGTGCTCTGATAATGAATTCAAAATGAAAGATTTGGTTTGAACAATCTACTTTTGTTATTTATTAAATTTAGCTGAAGCTTTAATGAGAATTACATTTATTTCATTAATACTCTTGCCTTGTGGTTTCCAGGGGGACCTGAAGCAGTATCTACTGGCCACACGCAGTGACAATGGTCTCCGAATTAATCGTGTACCACCTCTCTCCACCGGACAGAAACTCAACATGTGCCACCAGGTGGCACTAGCCCTTGAGCATCTGTCCAATCACAGATTTGTACACAGAGATGTGGCATCACGGAATGTGATGCTGACATCAAACCTGAGTTTGAAGCTTTCAAGCATGTCCATGTGCAGAGATGCTTATGCATCAGAGTATTACAATATTCACCAGAACCTTATTCCTCTCCGATGGCTGCCTCCGGAGGCAGCATTGGATAATGATTATTCCACAAAAAGTGACGTGTGGTCTTTTGGGGTTTTCGTTTGGGAAGTGTTTCATCTAGCAGACTTGCCGTATTTAAGCATGTCAAATGAGGAAGTATTAAAAAGACTGCGAGTGAGAGATCTTCAGCTGGACATTTCATCAGATCTCTGTCCAATGGAAATTACAGACCTGATACATAAGTGTGTGAATGAGAGCCCCCGTGACAGGCCCCAATTCAGTGAACTCTGTATTTACATTGGTGATATCATAACAGGGGTGCAACCTGGCATGAACAAGAGCTGAGGAAGGTCAAAGTTCAAAGGTCACACCAACATACTGCTGTTTCAACATTTTTGGTTCACTGAGATTTTGTTAGATTTTATTGGTAGACTGTCACACAATATCTGTCTACCCTTCTGTAGGCTTGAATTGGAGATCTGTCTGTCTGTCCTTGCAAAGCAAGAGTAGCAGATCCGTCCATGGAAGGCTTGGCCAGAAAGGGACGGGTGTCCATCTGTCCTTATATAGCTGGATGAGCAGCTCTGTCCATTTGTCCTCAACAGATCAGGAAAGGGGATAGCATCTTGATGTCCTATAAGAATATCAGGATGAGAAGGCGACCCAAGAATTATCTGTTAATAAGGACAGACACATCTGAAGATAGCAATGCAAACAGAAAGCAGATTCATTTGTCTGTCCAGCGACACCATCTGTTTGTTTGTCCTTGCGTGATTGCAGTTCTATATCTGTCCATCTGGCAATCATTGATATTACGTCCAATTTTTATTGTGTATGTAAGGTAGCGCATACATGAAATTACAGATATTGTGTTTTTTGGGGAAAAAAGTGTTTAAGAACAACTTGTTTGTGATGTATTTACCTGTTTGGTCATTCTGTGGGTGACAGTCTAGGAGTATAGGTATGACATACATGGTACTGTATAAAGCACTATGTCATCAGCCATTTCATTGGTCATAAAACTTACAAAGCAGAAGAAATGGCACACTTCCGATAATCTACAAAGTGGAAAATGCTTCAGATATACTACTAGATCATCAGCCCTTTCACAAATACTTTACGTCACACCTCTTGGTTCCATTGCTATTTTCCACCCTCTTTATGTTGTACAGTCTTATTTTAATTAATAAGGTATTATATACTGTCTGTGATTTCCTCAAAGGAAAACTTTTCTTTTAATAACGATATGTTCAAGATGAATTTCCCAAACAGTGGTAGCGATATTCAGATGAAGTTTTGAAGGGGAACAAAGGGTTTGTTATAAATAACATTTGATGAAAATGGCTGTAAGTTGTAAAGTAAAAAAATCATTTTTCATTTGAGAAAGTTTTCATCATTATTAAGAATTAAACATTGATATCTAAGCTTCCAGTAAAAATATATTTAAATTGTTAAGCCTTTATTAATATAATGATTTGATCCTAACTAAGATATTTTTAACTCTCTGTTTCATTCCTATACCTTATGACATCAAGGGAAATATATGATAGTGCATGTTTATGTATTTAACTTTCCTTAGGGAATTTCAATTTAAAACTTTGCAAGATTTCAAACTATCAGTTGTTCACAAGTACAATACATATTTTCTTACTGATCAAACTTTAAAAAGGTCCATTGACCACAGTAAAGAAATGTCCTAATTTGGAAGTCAGTTTCTCATTGGTCGAGTGAGATGACAAATCAATGATATTCTTTTATCTGATTGGATATGAAATCATACAAAATTTTACTTAAGAATTTCTGAAAGTCTGTACATTTATGATTTACATTGAAAATGTAAAAGTCTAATGTGTTAGTATTATTGTTATTTATTATGAGTAGTCTGTTATTGTTGCCTTGTAGATTCTCTAGCTATAATGAAATCCGTGTCGATAGAGAAGATTTTACTTTGTACAGAAACATTGGCTTTCTGTGGTAACTGTTCAGCAACATTGCCTACACCAGTTTCAAGATTGCAAAAAAAAAATTTGAAAAAAATTGCAAATTCAATGCATTTCATTTAATGCACTAATGTTAGAATATGTTTTAAATTTTATCAGTACATCTATGCAAATTTTAATCTGGCTTAATATTCGCTTTTTAAGGAATATATATATATGTGTGTTTTACATTGCACTAAAAGTATTGCCTTAAACAAAGTGGATTTTGCAATTTTGTTGCTATGGCTACCACAGAAATGGCGGATGTTGAGACAGTTGATTTGTATGTATAATCAAGTGTTTGTTCCTGTTGAAGCTTATAATGTGTCGAGTCTGGAGTTTACGTTGAATTATAATTGTCAACACCTTATCAGAGGCCCGTGATATGTATGTATAGAAACATTGTATAACGATGGATGTGAACGTCCAAAAGTCCCTAGCTTTACCATACAACGTGTGCAATACTACGTATAATACTGTGTCTGCTGCACCTGTGTATGGATCTTGTCGTTGATGACTTAATTTTTGTTGGAATTTTATTTTCAAATACTTCTATTATTCAGACAAACAATACTCAAGGAGGGAAACTGTAGTTCATACTCTGATATATTCTAAAAACATTTTGCTCACACTTTATGGAAACTAGGTTTTGATTGTGCTAATATTTCAGACCTGATATTCATAACAGTAAGCATATTGTATCTTGATTAGGAAAAGGTCTTTTCTGGATTGCTTCAAGAATAAAGGTTTATCAGAACACAGCACAAGATTCCTTTATACCTAGAAACAGATTGTTCTGATGTATCAGATTTTAATGGTACCTATAACAAGTTGTTCTGATGTATCAGATTTTAATGGTACCTATAACAAGTTGAGATCTATTAATTCAGCAAAATGTTTTAGTAGTGAAATGGTATGATTTTGACTTTAAAACCATGAAAACGTTTTAGAAAAATCCTTACCCAAAAAATTACAAAGTTGTCGAGAGTAAGTATTTCCTATGTCTTTCATATATTATTATTATAATGGATATTATGATGAACCCCTGAAGTTTAATCTCAACCTACTGGGTGGTTGTGAAACATGCTGTTTCTTCTTTTCTTCCAAAATATTCCTAGAAGTATATATAAGTTTACGTAGACATGAGGCTCGTGAGTAGATGGAGAGGGTACTAGGGGTGGGGTTATAAAGGGGGCGGGGCTATGAAAAGGGGTGGGGGGGGGGGTATGTTTGGGAATCAGGGTACAACTGCCTTACTTACATTTAGTAGAATAATGTGGAGTAAAATATTTTTATTGTTTTTGAAATAAAATTATGAGAATTTTCAGCTTCTTTTCCCTTGGCTGTATATTGCTAAATAAGGTTATTGCTGCATTTACTTAAAAGAATTATAGTCATATATCATCTTGTGCTAATGTACCATAATCTGTGTAACTTAATCTTTAAGTTTATAATAGTTTTGAAGGGGAAATAACGAGAACAAAATGCTACTTTGTCTGTCTTTGCATTTTCATTATGTAATAAGATATGGCCATTTTCATAAATTCATGAAACTACGTCATTTGGTATGAATGGAGAACTGTGATAAAGAATTGAAGTGAATCAGTATGAATGAATTTTAAATTCAACTTTTAGATGAATATTCATATTTGTTTTACAAAAATTGAACATTTTTTTGCATATTCATTTTCATGTCTGCCAGCTGTATGAGAATAATCAATTTCATAATATGCATCATGATCATTTTGATGAAAGTTAACTACAAAATACTTTCTTTATATCTTGTAGTAATATTGGTATAAATGTGGAATTCAGTACTTATTTACAACATACATATTCATGAATTTAGCATAATCATAATATTTAATTTGCATATTCATGATCTTATGTGTCATTATATCAATCATTTCTCTTCACCAGTAAATTCAGACAAAGCTGCAAGATTTTTGAGACATCACAGCTTTTCAATGTATTTTGGTGGATCATTGGATGTTTGTAACCCACCATGTGGATTAAGAATATCTACGCCTCTTAGTTTTGTTTAGGTCCACCAGTGTCAAGCATTAGGGGACAATATTGTTGTTTTTGGCTGGCTGTGAGTTAGATGTGTATTGGTAACTCATGTTTATGTTAATTAGAAACAATAGGTCTGGTTAGCTTAACTCGTATCCTATGAAAGTGATCTTTATTGTAATGAAAAATTATAAAAAAAAAAAAAGATATTTGATATACACATGTTAAACAAAATATAACTCATATCTTGGAGAATTTTTGTTTAATTAATATCTTAATCCAGATTATCTTGAAAAATAATGTAAATTGTTTAATCCTGTAATGAATATCAGATACATAAGAATTTATCATAAATCTTAAAACTTTGAAATGTTTTTTCCTAGTGTTGGGCTAACCAGATACATTGATCGAGTCTGAAATGGAATTGGCTTTACTACATATATATACATTGTATCTATATGTACAGAGTTATTCCCCTTGAGAGCTACAACACTTTATCTATACAGTGACTCAGGATTTAGGATATGGATGATATGATCCTAAATGTTATCTGTCATAACAGTCTTGTTAGGATATCGATACTTTGATCCTAAATCTTCTATTTACTGTTTCGATATTGATGCTATGATCCTAAATTACTGTATATTGTAAGGATATAGATGCTATGGTCCTAAATTTACTGTGTATTTTTAGGATGCAGATGCTTTTATCCTCAAATTTACTGTGTATTTTTAGGATATAGATGCTATGGTCCTAAATTTACTGTGTATTTTTAGGATGCAGATGCTATTATCCTCAAATTTACTGTGTAATTTTGGGATACAGATGATCCTAAATACTGTGTATTTTTGGGATACAGATGATCCTAAATTAACTGTGTATCGTTATGTCTTTATGGAATTGCATCATCAAATTGCTGGCTATATTTTACTGTTTAATAAAACAGACCCTAAAGTTAATGGTTTTGTGACTTATTTCTACGCTCCCGTGTGACGGAACATATCATGGTGTGTGACAGCTTACTGAACATCAATGATGAAACATAAAGACTGGAGCATCACATCCTTGCCGTTTTTCCTTATATTCACCAAACTTGCTATAGTTGTGTACAGTGGGAAGGAAGGATGTCACATACTTGACATGCCCCAATTTAGCAGAGTTATGACCTTTTGTTAATTTTCGATACCAAATTTGGTCTGAAGCAAAACTTCCTCATTATTTCAACTATGTTCACCAAAAATGCTCTACTTATGGACCTTTGGAAGGCAAACTGTAGCATACAAACATCCCATCTCCAGATCCACTATACATGAGTTGTGGCTCTTTATTAAATTTCCTTGATTTATCCAACTAATATACCGGTACATTTGGAAGGCAGAGTGTCACACATCAATTTCCTGTCCCAGTATAATAGAGTTATGGAGTTATGGCCCTTCACTATTTTAGACATATTACTTAACATACTACAATGAGACTGTGGATACTTCATGGCAGGGGCCCAATAGGGAAAAATATGTCATTAGATCTATGAAACCCTACTCCTTGAGTATGGGTTTATATATTGTAACAGCATCCTTTGCCTTAGAGGATTCAACATTGTATGAAAGGATGACATAAGGCCCTGTTGATGGCAGAGGTTCAGGACACTATAGGGAAAATATGGGTTAAATATCTTTATAATCCTACTACTAGAGTATGCTCTAAACTAGAGAAGGTGCAAGGAGATTTTAACCTAATTTGGTCCGTAGGATCCTTTGGGCTAAGGGGACTCAATGTTGTATGAAAGGAAAGACAGCATCAAAATACAACATTTTCCTAAAATTTCAGTTAATTTATAGCCACAGTGACCTTGACCTTTGACTTAGTGACTCCAAAATCATTTGGATACCAACTACAGTATCAGAGCTAGCCACAGGGCCACCATCTTGTCTTGGGAGATTTACTTCACTACGCTACAGAAATCTTAGTTACCCCAACTAGTCACAAAAAGCATCTCCTCTCTAACTGTGCACCAACATGAATCTGATCATGAAAAGAAATTTGCAGATGGGCTCTGCCATATACAGAAATATCCATCGCAGCTTGGGCTCTGCCATATACAGAAATATCCATCGCAGCTCTCCCTGTAAAAACTGGCTGTACACAATACAATTCAAATGGATCCCTCTTAACTGTTTTCTGGATATAAGGTCAATGTCGGCGACCAGATAGCTCAATTGGTAGACCATCTGTCTTGAGTTCGGAGGGTCCCGGGTTTGACCTCGGTCTGGCTGTGCATTTTTCCTCTCCTGTTACAGTGGTGCCTGTGACCAACCTCGTTTCAAGCTTTTGGTGTATACTTGGCAAGGGGGTACCCGAATCTGGGTTGTAATAGTTCAAGTTGTCTTCAGGGGCGAAGACTTAGAAAAAGGAGGGAGGAATGTAGCGGAACAGGACTGGGTCAGTCGTCGGCGACCAGATAGCTCAATTGGCATAGCGTTCATCAAGAGCTCGGAGGGACCTGAGTTTGAATCCTGGTATGGCCGTGTATTTTTTCTCTCCTGTAACATAAACAACAAAACAGAAGGTTGTCTTGATGTTCAGACTATATTTTAGTTTAAGACATAGACCAGCTATTTAGTGGAACATAACAATGTATATTCTAAAATTAAATCAATTTTATGGTTTCAGGCTATGTTTTAGGAAAACAGGTACTTCATGTTACTACATTTCTCCTGCTTGATTTTTGACATTTCCCAAAAGGATATTGACAATATCGGTTTCATTCAAATTTCCAGAAACCAAAGCTCAACAAGAGGCCCAGAGGGCCTGTCTCGCTCGCCTCAATATGTTTAAAGTAATTGGTATGAAGTAAAGATATAGCACTCCATGGGAGGTGTTGTAAGTACATATAACATTTCAGAAAGATCCATCCAGTAATTGAGATAAAGCGAGAACAAACTTCATACAGAGCCCCACCTCTATGGGGGGTCATACCACCCGTTTATCCAAAATTGAGACACCTTGGCCCAAGGATGCTCCAGACTAAATAAGGATAAAATCCCTTAATCCTGATGGTCGAAGAAGGATTTTAAGATTTAACCTCTAATTCTCCTATTTGGCCCCGCATTTCTGCCCCCTGGGAGACCACACCCACTGCTTATACAAAACTGAGTCTCGTTGGCCCAAGAAAGCTGCAGACTAAATTAGGATAAAATCCCTTAATCCCTATGGTAGAAGAAGAATTTTAAAGGTTTTACCTCTATTTCCCCATTTGGGCCCCGCCCCTCAGGCCCCAGGGGGGCTACACCCACCGTTTATACAAAATTGGTTCCCCTTTACCAAAGGATGCTCCACACGAAATATGGACCAAATCCTTTCATTCCTACAGAAGAAGAAGGATATTAAAGAATTTGCTATATTTCCACTATTGGGCCCCTAGATGGGCCAGACCCACAGTTTGAACAAAATTGGTTTCCCTTTACCCAAGGATGCTCCACACCAAATATGGACCAAATCCTTTCACTCCTACAGAAGAAGAAGGATTTTAAGGAATTTGCTGTATTTCCCCTATTGGGCCCGCCCCTAAGACCCAACGTTTATACAAAATTGGTTCCCCTTCACCCAAGAATGCTTCAGACCAAATATGGAACAAATCTTTTCATTCCTACAGAAGAAGGGTTTTAAAGAATTTGCTTTATTTCCTCTATTGGGCCCGCCCCTAAGCCCCCAGGGGAGCCACACCCACCATTTATACAAAATTGGATCCCCTTCCCCCAAGGATGTTTCTGACCAAATATGGAACAAATCTTTTCATTCCTAAAGAAGAAGGTTTTTAAAGAATTTGCTTTATTTCCTCTATTGGGCCCGCCCCTCAGCCCCCAGGGGAGCCACACGCACCATTTATACAAAATTGAGTCCCCTTCACCCACGACTTCTCCAGACTAAATTAGGATAAAATCCCTTAATCCCTACGGTAGAAGGATTTTAAAGGTTTTACCTCTATTTCCCCTATTGGGCCCCACCCCTCAGCCCCCAGGGGGGCCAGACCCACCGTTTATACAAAATTGAGTCCCCTTCACCCAAGAATTCTCCAGACTAAATTAGGATAAAATCCCTTAATCCCTACGGTAGAAGGATTTTAAAGGTTTTACCTATATTTCCCCTATTGGGTCCAGCCCCTCTGCCCCCAGGGG